AGCGTAGGAAACAGTAACGCGTTTTTACCTTTACCGCTCATCCGTAGTATTAACCAGTTAAAACTTTTTCATTTCGCATTTTTCTCTTCTCTAGGCCAACAGATCATTAAAACTCGACAAGAAAACTATGATCAGTATCGTTGTCATGTTTATGGGGACTGTATCGTTCACATGAGGGTGAAAAAAGTTTTGCGAGTTAGTCAGTCTGATAAGGCGAACTAGAACGTGAACAAATTCTTTTTCATCTCAACTTTCCCTTATATATGTGAAAAAGAGTAAAAAACGGACATCGAGAAACAGTGAAGAAAAAGTGATCGAATGTCTACGATTTTGTTTATTGCAGTGTACATATAAGCAATACTCTCGGTTCCTTTTTCTGACAAACTGTTGAACAAAATATGATAGAGAGTTTGACATCCCAGTATCTCATAAATAATACTTGGATGTAGTTTTATACAAAAAATATGAAATCGGTCTGATTTGTGAAAATCTGCAATTTACATAATATCTAGATGTTCAGATATTCAGATATCTTCCTCTTTTCTTTCACGGTGGCGAATATCAGGAAGCGCCTCACTCTCATCTTCCCTTGCCACCCCCACCTTCCCTTTTCCCCATTTCTATAACATCTGAATATCTAAATATCTGACTTGAATATCAGAATATCTGAATATCTGAACATCTAGATATATTATGTAAATTGCAGATGTTCACAAATCAGACCCTACTGAAAAATATATTTAGAAATCTGTTTTTTTTCGACCTACAACAGAAATTTTCCAGGATCATTGAAAAACTTTTTTAAAGTTCAAAGATTGATTACAGAAATATATCGAGTTTTCTTCACAAAGGTAAACATTTCAAAATGTCTTAATTAACATGTAAATCAACTTTTATGCTTCGGTAAAGAATTGAATTTACGACATGTACTAGAACTAGTATCTGCTGGCGTTCAAAATCAGTAAAATCAACTGAGCACAGTGAGCATATAAGTGAAAGAACAAATTGAACTATAAGAAACATTTACTGTACTAAATCTAGTTTTTGAGCTTTCTTAATTTTCTTCATTTAAAAGATACTTCTTTGACAGTATCTGTTTATCAAACATTTTCTGAAGATTTTAAATCACGCGCATATTCAAAACCTATTTTTTCATACAAAACTGCGTCACAATACTGCAAATTCATACTCTGTCTCACTTTTAATTCAAAAGTTAACTAATCGAGAGTATTGCTTTTTTTGACAGATATGTCACTATCTATTAATTTTAGGTCCATTTTTGAGAGTTTCATTTGTCATGGCTACAATATTTGAATGGTTATTTATTATTTGTAATGGTTTAGAAGGAGTATGGTGTATACTTTTATATTTATTGATTCGAAAATGCCAACAACCGAAAAAGTCGATACTATTACCAAAAACAAACTTATGGCTTGGTCGGAGAAATCAAGTCAAGTCATTAACTATTACAATCAGGTTTTTATGACAGATTTTAGGCTAAAATACATGATTAGGTTCGGAATTTTAATCCAGTATTAGATAAGAGCTCCTTCACCGAAAAACAATGACTTGTAAATGATTTAGGTCATTTTCCAAAAGCAATTGTGACAACAAAATCATAGAAAAAAACTTTTTTTATCAACACAGTAGGAAAGTACTCAAGACTCTACAGTCGTGCCTTAGAATAGAGAAAGAAACAAAATCTACTAACATTTGAGCATTCTTCTACGAAAAAAGTTCTTGCCTAGCTCTAATATCAAGTGAGGTATGAGCTTTTAAAACTAAGTGACAATAATCTTAGACGTCGATTTTTCTTAAATTTAGTTCATTTACCTCAGAATGACTTCTCTATATCTGAAAATAGTATTCTGTCGCAAAGAAAAGTCTTATTCTTAAAGCTTTTAGTTTTTGATCAATAAAGGGCACTGACTTCATATAGTGTTAAACGTTAATCAAATTTGAAACAATAAAAACCAGGAATTGAAAGCGTAAATTCAGAAAAAATATAAACATGTCTAGCAAATGCAGACAACAAATAAGATGATGTATTTTAGTTTAATTTTGTGAGAATATGAACAATACATATGCGAAACAATGTAGATATTACAAAATTTATAATAAAACGAAATCACCACTTGATATTTGAATGAAAGAATAGATCTGTGACAGTTCGTAGTTCCTTGAACTGCAGTTCCTCAATAACGGGAACTCATTTTCAGTTTACGGTTTTTGAACGGAAACTGTTTTTCAGCTTCGTTCCTGAACAGGGAACGGTTCAGTAGTTCATATTTCAAGAAAAGAGAAATAATTCACTAGTTCCAGTTCCTGCGAATGAGAACTACAGTTCTTTTTGAACTAGGAACTGTTCGGTACACCGAAGCTTTATTGCTTCCGATTTACTGACTCTATAATCATATCTTTATCAGGATTTTTCATATTCTGCTTAAGTTAGAGGTCGCATGGCGGAGACGTTTAGCTCTAGCTTGCTATTCCAAATGATTTGTCTATGTTGATTTAAGATTTGTTTATTAAACGCTCAGTATTACAAGGACAGTTGAAAATCCAACTTTAAGGCTTACGGGTAATATGTGCAATAAAATAAACTATAATTCTACAGTTTCTTATAGATTTCTCATAGTTCTGGTATTATTACGCGATAGACTCAAGAATTCTATATTTGACTTCCATTCCAGTGACGGGTTGATGGGGAGGCAGCCCTTTAAAGATGCCACACCCACCTGAAGAAAACTTTTGATTTTTCCCTATAGCAGAATATTTGATTTGATAAATTTTTATTAGCAGAATTTTTGCCTTTTACCGACGGAAAATTTTTCTGAATTCACCACTGTTTCACTTCACAGTTCCTGAGATTGATCACATAAAACTCAAGCGTTTGCAGTCTTCTAGTTGGAGCATGACTCTAGAATACCTTTTTTTTCCCAGGAACTCTTCCACTACTCTAACTTTTCCAGTATATATAGCTTTTCTGTTCTGTGATGTAATGTCTCTCTTAATTCTCTCTATAACTCATCACAGAGTATGCAGGCTTTGGTCGCTGATCAAGGATATAAGCTGTATGGGTTGAGCAGCGGGAGTAGAACACACTATAGCAATGCACAGGATGGGGATGAGAACACCTCAGAGTTTACTTTTGGACAATTTAGTCCAAAAGTAAATTCTTTGCATTTGAATTCAAAGTTCAAGTGTTCGATTCTATCAACTGTGTAGTGTTCTTTTGTACTTTGCTTCTTTCTGTTCTATCCTTATCTCTCTCAATCAATCAGTACTCTTCTTTTCGCTTTTTTTGTAACTCCTCCTCTGAATTCCTCTGAAAGAGGAAGAATAAAGAGTGAAAGTTTGTAGCGGAAGAAATTGCCGGAAATCTGAAAATTTTATTCACCCGATACTTCCCACCCCCTCTCCCTAACGTTTACGGACGTACGTGACCCACGGACAATACTGAATACACGTTGTATACGCAGATTTCATACAGTCTCACCTTAGTCCTTCACGTTTGAATGGAGGAGTTACACTTTAGACCCAAGGTCTACGCTGATAAGCTTTTCTTACCTGGAACCACTGTAAAAGACTTTTCTGTAATCTCACGCAAAAAATAATTCCTGATAATGGATTTTGTCTAGGGTTTCAGCTATATTTATGTTCCTTGTTTTTTCTTACATCTATAGTCCTTTTACATTTTGTTATAATAAGTATTTTGCGCTCTAAGCAACGCATTTCAATACGGAAGAGTTAGTAACGCGCTGAATAAGATGATCTGATGGAGTTAGATTTCATCATTTTATAACAGATGTGTTGAAAACGATCAAATATTTATTCTCTCGTTTTTTCAGCTTTTATTCTCGATTAGTTTTCTTTGAATAGGCTCTGATGCTCGCTCTAATGTCTACTAGATACTGTGCCACAGTAATAGACAGCTAATCCTCTATAGAAAGACAAAAAATGTGCAAAACTTTCCAAGTTAAAATATTCACTTATACGTGCATGATGAATTATTGAAGATGTGCACATATTCCAAGTTTCTAAAACTGTAGTTTATTTTCAACAGAGTTTTGATCATCTGCATGCAAGGAATCTTACATGAAAGTACCCACTGACTTCTGATAAGGTGTGCTGTATCTAGGCCTATAAGGAATGCTTTGTCAGGTTGGAGATATCCGCAGCGCCACCCAGGCGATTTGGAGGGAAACACTAACTTGTCTACTTCCAAAGCAACCACGTAACAAGTATTTCACTCTAAAAAATAATATGTCTTATATGATGTGTCTACTTCAAAATGCATCTTGTAAGTGTCTTAAATGTGTCTTGCAAGAAAATGTGACTTAATGTATCTACAATAACAAATAATTGAAGAGTCTTTTGAGATACTCTGTAGACACTTTCGGCAGTAAGGCACTTCAAAACAAAAATTTTTGCAAAGAAAAGAAAATTGTCTTTTTCGTATTACAGTCCGAAGACCAGCATAAGTAGTACCTCCCAGGTCGAAGAATCGTACTAAGATCGTATCTGAATTAGACAAAATCGTACCAATCGTATGAAAATCATATATGAATCGTGGTATCTGATTTGTCCTCTGGATCGTATAATACGATCGTAGTAGATCATATACGATCATACAACTTCGTATGAAATCGTACAGTACGAGCCAGAGGACAAATCAGGTACCACGATTCGTATGTAAATCGTACATAATCGTATATGATTTCGTACGATTCGTATACGATCTTGTACGATCGGATAGTACGATTCAATCACCTGGGCTGCAGCGGAAAAAAATGCTCTGCTGTGTCTATGTTACAAACCATACATTTCAGAGTATGAACTCGCCGACCTCCAGGAAGTCATTCAAATATCGTCGACAGGAACATTCTTCTACACTAAAGCCTACTACACTACAAGGTTCTTCTGTTTAGAACGAGCTGTCTCATTTTGGTCGATGCATGGGTCAACTGAATTCCAGGAGAGAGCACCAAGCCCGAAGTTCAGTTACGCCTGCCTGATGATACTGCGAGAGAATAAAATACTTGAACAATAGCAGCCATCCAAACCTAAGAAAGAAGAAGAATAAACCTTACCATAAGCAGTAGTTAAAAAAACTTTAAATAATAAGACTTGGCCGATTTGTCTATGCAAGTAAAGAAAGCTATATTTCTCCTCAATAGAAAATAATTTTAAAACAAGGAGAACGTACTTGTGTTGTCCGTCGAACGGCGGTTCGAATGGTATAAAAATGTTGGCTACACCTATCGAAGCAAAAAACTAGATAGGTTTTCAAAATAAGGTTTCGAATTTGGAGCTCCTCTAAAGAAAAATTCGAAGCTCGGACACAAAACGTCCGAACAGACTTAAAAGTACTTTTCTATACTCTACTCTGATCGTAGATTCCGAAAATCACTGTTCCTTCTCCAGGATTAAACGCGGAAAAATTACATGCATTTTTTGAAAAGGTAGCGCTTTTTCGAGAAAGGAGACCCTTTCAGTATTTTCAATTTTTTTCGAGGAAAACGTGCACTAAAAAGGTTCGGAAGGTGTAATCCGAGATCCCTGGCTTCCGCTCTATACGGCCATGTATGAATAGAGCAAAAATAAAATTTTGGGAAACTTCGAGTTACGCGCGCCGTACAACTGACACTCTTCAAATGACTGGTATTCTCATTCATACACAGTTAGTTACACGTTCTATCGCTTAGAGAAGTTCCTCGTGCGTAGTTGGCTTACACTAATATCTTTCATTTTATTCCAATCTGGCAGAAAATAAAATAAGAGACCAGCTTTTGATCCTGGTAACATTACACCTAAAAGACAACAATGAAATTTTCCATTTTTCCCAGCATATTTGAGTATGTAGTCTTACCTCGGATAATGAGTGCAAATATGACAACATAAGGAAACAAGGCAGTGACATATACAACTTTTCCAGATGATTTTATGCCTCGTCGGATACATAAAAATACTAAAATCCAGCTAAATAATAGACATAATGATAGTTTCCATGTTGGAAGACCAAAATTGGAAAATGAATCACTTTTTTGTAATACGTAATTTCTAAACAGGATAGTTCATGTAAATTTGTGTTAAATAGTCTGTAGGACATTATTTTAGTGCTTCAGCAGAGATGGACGAATCCTGGAATTATTTTGCACAGAAAAAAAGGCTCTTGGTCTGCTATGTTACGTAATATGTGCATTGATGACAAAGACAATACGAGTTGTTTGTACCAACTCAAAATATTCTGCAGCAGCTAATTTAGGAACAGTGCAATTGGTTGTGATATTATTAATTCCTCCACAAAACTGACTTCCGGATAATGTCATATTTTTGCCTACAGGAAAGCAATTTCAGATCAAAAGATGAGAAATTCTATGGTTTCTTTCAGATTTACCTAATTCTCTACATCCTTCTGTATTCCACCAATTTGTACATGTTGTCCACTGTAACTTTTTTCGAAATGATGCAAACAAATAGAAAAACACCCATCCAATTATCATATTGTATACAATTGAGGTTGTGAATGCTTGCAAAGCCATCATCCGAGACCTCGAGAAATAACAACATGATAAATATCAAAAGATTCTTATAAAATATCTTACCTCTTCATATGCGAGATAACTGAAATACTTTTGAAACTCCAACGGAAGCAATTGTCCCAAAGCCAGTTCAAGAAAATAAAGCGGCAGTCCCACCAAAATATACATACAAAAGTAAGGGATCAAAAATGCACCTTGAAAAAAGAAATGTTTTCATTAAAAAACTGTAAGAGAACATCTCCCTAATGACTTTATATCCAAGCTTGAGTAATCAAAGTCGTACTCTGCTGAAAAATGCGACGAGTGCTCGTATATTTGGTTTACTCATGGACCGACTATTCAGATGAGTAATCATGCACAAATGTATGAATAAGTCGTACTTATGTTATGAACACTTTCACTAAGATTTAGATGCATTTTTCTCGCATCTTACCTCCTCCATTTTTGTAAGCAATATACGGGTATCTCCATACATTGCCAAATCCTACGGCACACCCGATAAGAGAAAGTAATAATTCAATAGGTTTGTCCCAAACTTCTCGTTCTTCTGCAACCATTTTTTATATGAGAAGAGAACAAGTGGATTTTTCATCGGTACTACACTCTTTTCAAGCGCGATTTCTTTTTTTTGGTAAATTAACTGACATTTGGTTAAAGTTTATACAACAAACTGCCACCAGACAAGAAAAGACACTGGCAATTTTTTATCTGAAGAAAAGATAAGAAATGAAATGTCACTGAGAATGAAAATAAAAATTCTTTTAATGACTGCGGTAATAGATAGCCATTGAGAAAAGCCATCACTCGGTTAAAAACAAGATTTTATTTTAAGCGTGCTTATCGTGTAGAGCGTACAAA